CCATACTCGTAATGGTGTTTAGATATGTGATCTTAATTAGCATAGATATTTTTACGATCTTAGCTCTCCATTTTTCCCCCCGCAGTGTTTAACCACATTTCCAAACATCTTGAGGTTCGTCAAAAATATTGCACTGCACGTCGTATTTTCAACTCTCTTTTCGGCATTTGGAAATGTGGTCAAACACGGTCTTTCGTGGTTTATTTATTACTCCAAGTCACTTTATGCAACGAAACCAAGATTACATGCCCATCTGGTAAGCGAAGACAAACTTTATTTACAGGGCATATACTGTATATACTGATTTATTAGTAATTATTAGTATAATAAACTGATTATTAGTATTTACTTATACGGTATATGCGTGAATGTCGTAAGTACATGTAGAACGAGTCATATATCACTGTTTCCGAACCAAATTTACTTGACTTAAGTAAATTTCAAGCCAGCAAAGTACATCAAGCAAGATAAACAACACGCAATGTATGACTTAGGGAGGCACGGTGGCCTCATGGTTAGTGCGTTCGTTCCCAGAGCAAGCGGTTCGGGTTCGAGCCCTGGCCGGGGACACTGTATTGTGTTCTTACGCAAGACACCTAACCCTCGCGGTGCCTCTCTCCACCCAGGAGTATAAATGGGTACCGGCGAATTTTTGGGGAAATCTAACAAACTGCGGGGGAGTGACCCGCGATAGACTAGCATAGCATCCCATCCAGGTGGAGTAGAAATACTCCTAGCCGCTTCATGCTACAGAAACTGGGATAAGCTCCGGCAGTTATGAGCCAGTCGGCTCCAAGGCTTCACTTTACTTAATGTATGACTTAGTGAAGTTATGACATTCACTCATGAAGTATATCTATCCCAGTTACACCTCGTTAACAAAGACAGTGAGCTTACCTTGGGTTTACACATCATGGTGTAGGAGACTCCATCACTGCCTTTGATGGTGATTTTCTTCGGTTTTTGTAAAGACTGCAGAACATCCACCTATAAAAACATAAATAAAAGAAGAAATTTTAAAAAAGCTAGGCAGAAAACGGGATAAGAAACGTCACCCATTTTCTTGGGTTACTCGAACAAATTCGTGGCAGGTAAAATGAACCAAGCCATGGCAAGACACTAAAGTGCCTCCCATATCAAGATGTGTATATGGATATCGGCGATCTATCAAGGCAAAAGGCACTGGAGGGGCAGGAGGGGGGG